CAATTATTTAAAATATTTTCCTAGAGAGAATTTTATAAAATAGAGAGAACATTTTACCATATATCAATTTCCTAAAATATATATTGAAAGGATATTTCATTGTTATGTCAGCAGGAAATGGTGTAATTTTATTTAGAAATTAAATCCAAAATTTAACATTTCATTGCATTAAAACATTGGTGATATATTTTTTAAATAAAAAATCTTCAGAAAACAAGAGTTATTAATACAAAGTATAAGATTTAGAAAGAAATGGTCATCTATACAGTTGTACAAATTAAAAAACTGATAAGAAAGAAAATATGATTAGAAATTCTTTCATTCATGCTGTAGTTCTGACCTTGCACTCTTCAGTCTCACAATAGGAAACATCTACTTAATGATTTATTTGTAGTTAACATGCTGATTATATTGTTTCAATGATATACATTTCATACTTTGTTGAATTATTTGTTAAAAATTTTAAAATTACAATATCTAATAACTGTATTTCCAAATAATATTATATTCCTTATCTGAACAGAAAATCGCCAGCTTCAAATATTATTATCATTCTTGAAAAGAAGCCATTCAGTAGTAGTTTATCATAAGATATACATACTTCTTACCAAAAATGCATTGAAAGATTAAATTTTATTACACTAAATAGGCTAGTTTAAAACAGTTAATAGATAACCAAATTAATAAAATGAAAATTAAATGGATCAAATTAATCAAATGGATAATAAAATAGATAACCAGGGCAAACTATAAAGTGTGTAAATTAAATGAGATTAATAGATTACTATAATTTTTTTATACACAGAACTTGTTATATACATTATCATTACTTTTGAAATGTGTAGAATTGAATGCATAACTATGTAATTAATAAATAAATCATTTGAGTCAACACATGAATAAAAAGTATCAAAATATTGCTTTTTATTAGAGTGAATTCTTTTCAATATGTTCTTTATCACTTTTTCTTTTGAATATTCAAAATGTAAGCACATTATTAAATAATTCACTTCAATAAAGCATAATTTTCTTTATATTTTGAGTTTTGATTGGAATTTTGGAGATTTCTCAAAATAAAAAGTTAACATTAAGATGAAGTAATCTCTGAAACAAAATTTGTTTATTTTTTAAATATATTTTATCTTAAAAACTTAATATTTTTTCCATTCTATATAAATAAGTAAACTAAATTTTTTATTGAATGAATTTATTTATTCCTACAATTTTTATTTATTTATTTTTTTATTTATTATTAGTGCTACTAGTTATTTTCGTTCACATAAGTCACCTCGTAAACTACAGTTGAAAGAAGTACATCAAACTGATGAAGCTGCAAAACTTAAAGTATTTAATTCAGAAGGAATAACTTTAGCTGAAACTACAGAAACAAACAAAAAACAAGAAAAAATAATTCATAATGAACCACCTCAGGTACCACCAAGGCGAATTCAAAAACAACCAGTTACTCCGATAATTAGACAACCTCCTACCAGACCGCCACCACCTCCACCACCTTCTGTTCCCTCTTCTCCTCAATCAGAATTGGATGATCAACAAAACTGTGAAGAATCCGTAAATAATTTATCATTACAAAATGGAAATGTTCACTACACACGATGTGCAAGTCCAGATTTACCTCTTCCACCTCCACCATCAACAGATACTGAACTATGTGTACCAGACGAACCACTACCTCCACCACCTGATTTAAATGATGTTGAAATATTAGGACGTTCACTAGGACAAAATAGTTTGTAAGTTTAAAATCATTTACTATAAATTTTTGCTGCTTTATAATAATGCAGTTTTTGAGTTAGCAGAGTAACATTATTGCTCAGCATTTTAATATATTGAAACATTTGATTAAATTAAATTTCATTACCATATTTATGATTATTAGCAAAATTTAAAGCTATATTAAGTTATCGTAATGTAATATGTTTTAGTATTAAGCAAAAAATTAATTAATAGTCAAGATTTTTAGGTTCTTATCAGTTTATTTTAACAAGATGATTTTCTAATCTTTATTATTTATTCATTTTTAATTTAAAACAAGAATTTTTTCATTGGTTTGGATTCAATGATACTTAACAACTTTAAAGTCAATCTGATATGTTCAAAATTTAATTTCAAATATATTTTTCTATTCTATATGTATGTTTAATGTAAGTGTTTGAAAGTGTAAAAAATGTTTATATAATAGAAAAATTAACGGTTGCATTCAACTNATATTTTTCTATTCTATATGTATGTTTAATGTAAGTGTTTGAAAGTGTAAAAAATGTTTATATAATAGAAAAATTAACGGTTGCATTCAACTATGGCTTAGATGTAGCATAGAAATAACTGTTGTGTAAAATTCATTGAAGCATGGCGTCACTTGTCAGGACCCATCTGTCATCCTCCCAGCCATCATCTTACTAGTATATTGCTCAAGGCAGTAACTGCCTGTTTGAGGATGACTGAGTCACCACTCAGCCCACCAGTTAAAGCAGGTGTAGAAGGACGTCAGCAAAATTATGTCAAGTGATTGGACAAAATATGTAAGACCTCATTTATACAATCCTGTAACACTGGTACTCGTCCTGGTGCCATTTTTACATTTATTTATGAATTGTCCCATGTGTGAATAAGAAATTGAATCAAAAGAATAATAGTTATTTAATCAACACAAAAAATTTAGAAATAATTAGTCCTTTAAAATAACAAGAATTGGTGTCATTGTTGGAGTTATATTAAGATTAATAGAATATATAGCTTGGATTCCTGCAGAGTAAACATTGTTGTATAGGAAGAGTTGAGTTATTTTTGATGAAAACAACTGACCTGACCTAATAAATATATGTTGTTTAAAAGATATGGGTGTTGATTTGAAACAAATCAAGTAAGTAGCTGCAGTTTTTATAAACAATAGCTTATTTTAAATGAATTTAAATTCAAATTTGAAAACAAAAAAATATATTATGTAAACTTTCATTTATTCTTAGTGAATGTTGTTTTTATATATTGTTAATGTGCTTGTTTCATATAATTGCAATCCAATTATTTTTAATTCTCATCAGATATTATTTCACTCCTCTACATATATTATGCCAACTGGTAGATATGTTTTCAAAAGTAGGTCACATGAAATAAGAATAAAACCACTATATTGCAAAGTAATGACCTTGTTTATAAGATGATAATGGAATGTGGTTTTTGTATCTATTGTCTATATAAAATAGACAAATGTACTATTTTTGTAATATAATATTTGCTTGATTGATAAGCTTTTGTTACCTTCAAATTTCAATTTATAAACAGGTTTAATAAAATTTCAATTTTTTGAAACGAGTAAATTCTTTTCTAATTTAAAATAATGCATTATTCTGAAAAATAATGACTAAATCATTAGTTATAACACAGCAGATATAATCTGTAAAATCAGTTGTAATTGGTAAATTTATTGTTAATATAAAAATTTTTATAACAAAAATGTTGTGTAAAAGTATACAAGGAAAACATGTTGGTAGTTTGATTTGATAAAAAGTATTTAAAGTTTTATTCAATTAAAAAACAGACAAAAATCAAAAGTCTATGTTAACAATATGCTTTTCTGTAGTTTTATTTGATTTTCCTTTTTGCATTACTACTTTTATAAATTACTATATATAGACGAAATATTTAAAAACATAATTATCTAAAAAGTAGCACATAAATATTTATAAATATTTAATTATACACGAGTTTTCATAATGTAAAATGTCTTCTTCTGTTATATAGTTTTATTGTAAATTATAAATGAAATCAATCTAGAAGTTTTAAAGAGAATAGAAATCTAAACATAATTACATTATTTTATGCTATTTTAAGGCCTGGTTTTTCCAGCTTGAAAATAGCTTGGAAAAACTTGGTAATATTTATTTGCTTAGCTAATTGCTTTTTAATGTTAATTTTAAAAAATGATTGATTTTTAAGAAGGCTACAGACTAAGAATTTTTAAATTTTTAAAAATTTTAAATAATTTAGTTCACTTGCTATTTAAAACATAAGTATTTATAAGATGTATCTGAAGGAAAAAACTTATTTTGAGAATCAGAAAAACTTCAGAAATTATTCATGAATAAATTTTCAAATTTTATATTGCAGTTATCAAGAAAATTTATTAAAATGATATAAGAAAGACAAAACCATTTTTAAAATTTCATAAAATAATTATTAATTTTGCAGTTTTGTTACACAAAATATTTATTCTTGCATTATTATTTTCTGTATATAAACTGAATGAATTACAAAAAAAGATTTCTCCAAATATGTTGAAATTTTACTATCCAAAATCTAAATGTATATAGTTAATTCTAATACATTAATCTCAATTAAACAAAAGCAATTAAATAATAAATTGTACAATACAGGAATGCTGAAGAATTATGATGATTGTAAACAATTAGTCTATAATTAATAAAACTCTAATTATATATATTTATATTATCATAATATTTATATATAAAAATATATAGCTTAAAATTGTTGCAACACTTTCAGTCAAGAAAAAGAAAATATGAATGGCAGCAGCAGAAATTGATAAATCATTACAAAAGTTTTGAACAACTGATATATAAAAATTTAGCTTTTTAATATTATTTCATTATTAGTCCTTTTACTTTTTTAAAATTGTTCTTTATTAGCATTATTTTCAGGATAAGTGCTTTTTTCTTGTAATAAATGAAGTAACATTTAAAGCTTGACAAATTTTTATAATTTAGTATTTACAAAGGCTAAATATTTAAAAATAATGCTTATATGATAAGAATCCCAATTATATAATATAATTGGATAGTATGTTGTACTGCATAATATATAAGTAACATATATATATATTATATGTACAGTACACATTATATTATACATATAAGTTATTATGTAGACTGTTGAAATACTAATAATTAATAATAATACTTTTTTTAATTCAGAGTTTATCCAAAGAATTCCTACATGTCGTATCGCAGTGAGAAAAAAATTGGCAGACTAGGATTTGATGGTAATTATCGTCGTATTTCTCCAACACCTTCTTTTTCTCAAGAGTCAAATCAGCCTTTTCAAAAGGATGATTCAAATTCAACAATGTCCCCTGCTTCTTGGGAACAATTACATAATATTCGTCAACATGGACCTACAGTCATTTTCCATTCTGATTCAATGCGTGAACAATCTCATTCACAGAGAAGAAAAAATTCTACTACTAGTATAGAATCTCAAAATAATTCTGCTTCTAATGTTCAAAATACAAATGAAGAAAATTCTTTAACTGTTAGTGCCAATAATTCTGATGTCAATGAACAAGTGAGTGATTCAGGTGAGATTAAACAGGATATACTTAGTAAAACAAAAAATAATGGACCAAATTGTAAAATTGAAAAAATTGAATCTAAGATTTCAAACAGTGATTTGCCAGATAAATCAAAAGAAAATTCTCAATCTGAACATCAAAAACATTTGGTAGAAAAGCAAGTTAAGTTAGCTAGCAATGAAAATAGGGATGAAAAGACTGATTGTAACTTAGATTCTAATTCAAATACATTGGCATCTCAAAGTGAAAAAATTGATTCAGAAATTAAAACTAATATTCAGAAAAATGATGAATCTACATATACTGTTCAAGTTCCTGTTTCTGTTGTGCCTCGTATTAATAGTGCTACGCAAACTACAGACACACCTAGTCTGAAACGTAAAGCAAAAACTAGAGAAGAACTGGAATGTGAAAAGCTCTCTCTTGATTTCATTGATCATTGTCATGACAGAGTTCTAAAGAACTTACTAGGTAAGTTATTCATCAAACATTCTGAACTGATTATATATCAAGTTTTCTAATTAATGCTTTTGGACATTAATTAGAGGTTGTCTAATTTAATCCATAGATTTTAATTATTAGTTACAGAATTTCAGTGCTTCATAATCTCCAATATATAAACAAATCTTAATAATAATTTTTCTTTTACATTTCACATAAGCATTTTACACAATTATTATAGTTATTTTTATACTCATAAATCAAATTCATATGCAATGGAGTAGAATTTTTAAAACATTTAATAAAACATTTAACACACAACATTTGAGAAATATAAACGTTTTCAGCCTAATGGAATAGGCCATCATCATTTTAGAATTTTTAATTTAATTTTTATACTCTAGTTTTATTAAGTCATTTATTATAGAATCTTCAAATGATTGTTTCTAACTTGTGAGTGAATACTTAAGATGTAAATGAAACAAACACTTAGCTATAAACAAAACAAATTTGCTCAAAATTTTTTCTGTTTTGCTTTATTGCATATTTATAGAATAAATTTAAATATTTGAATTTTTATTCTTGTTTGTATCAACATTATCATAATTGAAATGAATTTATAAATTATATACAGTACTTTGTGTTTAACATAAATGCATATTGTCATAAAAGCAATATATTACTTCTGAATTGTATGATTAATATTCATTTAATGTATCTACTGTAATATTTTAAAAATATATTTTACATTTTCTAAGCAAGGAAACTGATTGTAGTGCCATAGTTATGAGGTCTATGAGACGGCTAAGCCACCTAAAAGACATTACAACACAGCCCTGTGCAGCAATGCTTATGTGCAGTATAAATAATGCATGCTTTCACTTTCATCATATAAACTTACACTACTGTCATTTTCTTTGGACTGTAGTTGAATAATACTGGCTGAAAGAGAGAAAAATAGCAGTCATTTTTCACAATTTTTTCTGTGTCATGTTTACATCTTAATATTTTATTGTGTCCAATTCTTTGTTCTTTGCATAATCTGATAATGCAAAGAACAGTTTTTAATAGATTAAATTAATAATAATCACTCACATTAAGCTTAGAAGCACAAAAACTAAAGTGATAAAATTGAAGGCAATGTTACTAATACCATACAATCAATCAAGAGTAAAATCAATTATGATTTCTTGAAAAATGGTTTAAAACAAATTTTGCATTACATTGCAACATGAAATATAAATTTGTTTATATTTATATAAATTTTATTATATTACCGTTTTCTACATTGAAAACTATGAATATTTTATTATAGTTCTATAATTATAAAAAAATGTTTAGTTTTCATACTTGGTCTGCATATATTAATATTTCTAAATAAGTTTTATTACTTCATTATTTTTTTAATGTTAAATTTTGTAAGTAGATATTTGCATTTTAATTTCTTCACTATGAATGAGAAAAATAATGAGAATGTGGAATGAAATCAGTTTCTAACATAAAAAAATATAAAATATTAGGAAAACATTCATATTAATCACTATATGAACTGTAAAGTGTTTTTTTTAACAGTACCTATAGATGTCAATTTTACTACACAGGTTTAAAATAATAAAGGTATTTTAAAGCAGATGTTTGGAGAAAAATATTTAATATTTAACAAAACATTATCATCATTAATATTATG